AGAGAAGGGTGTAAAATAGGTGTGGAGGTGGTTTTGGGTACTTACTTACCTATACGTTGTGCCGGTCAATAAGCCGCTTTGGAATATATTACTACAAAATTTGTAAGCCGCTTGCCAAAAGAAAATAGAAATATTTTGTGGATGCTAGTCAACTTATGCGAAGCGCTGTCCGCAGCAGTCCACAAACTTTTTTCTGCCTCATGATTTATATATAGTCGAGATATATGATTCAATGTGTGTGTGTGTGTGTGTGTATCTGTTGTGCAGCTGGGGCAAACGTCGCGTATACGCAACGTCGCGTTGACACGTCTTGTGGTCAGGCAAAAGATAATAACAGCCCTGAACTGGAGCTGGAGCTGGAGCTGGAGCTGGAGCACGAGCAGGAGCTGCATGCGCCGGCCTAGTTTTTCCACATCATGCGAGTACCCATAAGTCGACACTCAGTTGTATTCAAAGTGAAGCTTGTGAATGCTGTGAATGTTCTCGGACGGCGCGTGGTTTTTGCTGATTTTTCACACTTGTTCGGGCCCTTGGCCAGCTGTTGTCCAGCGCCCTTGTCAGCCAGCTGGCACGCCCCAATTTTTTTTTTATTAACTTTTTGCCCATTTTGGTCACGTTTGATAAGCTGCAAGCAAATAATTCATGAATGGGCCGCGCGCGTTGCCCTCTGGCCAGCTGTTGCGCCTGCTGCTGCTCGTTGATATTTTAAATATGATTTGAATGAGTTTATAAGTTTTGTTTATTTGCTTAAGCAGCAGCCAAGTGATGTCGCATTTCCCTTACTCTGCCTCGCCCTACCCCTCCCCCTCCCCCCCAATGCCGTTCCACTACAATTGGCTTGCGGGGTTGATTCAATACAATTTGATTGATGTCTTTGCTCGCAAGCGTTTGTAGACAGTCATTAGCTGCGCATTCTCAACTGACGTTGTCTGTGTTCTATTCCAGCCCAGGCCAGGCCAGGCCAGCCCAACCCAGCCACGCCCCTGCCCCTGCCCCCTGACAGTGAGTGGCGCTGACAGCTTGCCAAATTGTCTGCTAAAATTTTAACTCACACACTAGCTGATATATTTCTATAAAGACGCCTCTGAGGTCGTCACAGCACATCATTAACGTTTACATACGTATACCTCAGTCTAACAATAATAAATTTATTAACTTTTTTTTAAATCGAACCTTTTAAATTTAGCTACAAGTACTCTACACTTATTGATAGCTAAAAACTAAATATCTCAATTCGATATGTAGGTTTTCTTTTAAAAACGTCTTAAAAGATTTTTGAAGTTAAGCCCTAAAAATGCTTACAAAACTTTTGCCTGTGTAGTTCGCCTGATTTAAAATAATAGCAAATAAATACAACAAAGAAAGTTAATAATACATTGTGAGGGGAAATAGAAGAAGTTGAGCTAAATGTAAAATATTCCAAATAATAGTAGGAAAATAAAGCAGAAATATAAAAATAAAATAAATTTAAGTGAATCGAAAAAATCTATATATATATAGTAAGAATTTGGTGATTCAGGTGTTGCATTTATCAAGGATTGCCTGATTGATATATATCTATAACATGATGAAGTAAATCATGCTTAGCTTCGACAAAAAGACATCGGCTTTCAAGTCCGAAGACTTCAATAAAGTCTTGCTTGCATTTAAATGCATACTTGTATACACACATGTATGTTTATTTAGTTATGTCTACATACAAATGTCTAGAGGTATTTAAAAGGTTGTAAGCACTTTATGCCAAGTCCGCTGAAGTTAATTTTTGGCACTTGAAAGCAAGCCCTATGAAGGCCATATACCATGTCACAGACTTTTACACGGGGCTGGGCGTTTGATAAACTGTGCACTCAATTCCAGGCCAGTTTAGCTAGGAGCAAAACAAGCTTAGAGAGAGAAAGAGAGAGAGAGAGAGGGAGCGAGGGAGAGCGCAAAAGAAATAAAGTTAAGTCTCAGCCACATGCGGTCGCGGTCATATTTGGCTTATTATAAATGACTGAATGTGAACTGCCTGTCATGTTTTATCTTTATTTTCGTGCATTTCTGGACACATTTCACTGGGAGTACTAAGCGGCGCAGAAGGATAGATGGCGATGGCGATGCGGATTGGGGTAGGGGCAGGGGAGGACTGTCGGCTGCCGGCGTGTCTGCACATTTTCCATTTTCCGATGTTGGCTTCTTCTTCTTTTTTTTGTTTGGCCTGGCACACAATGTGATGATAATGGCGCTTGCAGGCCGACTGACGTTTCTAACAAAGTGAGTCGCATTAAGGATAATCGAGGCAACTAAAAGCAAAGCCAACAACAACAACGACAACAACATGAAACAAAGCAGAGACAGCGACAGCGACAGCGGCGACTGCTGATGGGGCCCGATTTGCGCGTCATTATCCTTGCAGGCTACAGCGTCTCTGCTGTGTGTGTGTAAGTGTGTGTGTGTGTATGGCCGCCAGGCCTGAATGTCCATCAAGAGTGAAGACGCTGCAACGCCCGTTGTCCTTGCCGCATCCTGTGCCTGACATTTTCGTCGTCATCGTTCGGCGTTACGAATGATTTATGGCCAGCAGCTCGCCCGCAACAAGAGCTTAAGAGCAGCCCAAGCCGCCCAAACCACCCAAACCACCGCACCACTTGCCCCGCTGACAATGTGAAAATAGCTCTGCAATTGACAATTGTCCTCGGCCAGGACTACCGAGCTCGATGGCTAAACAAATATTTATTAAGCAAATTAAAGGCGCGCCGGCAAATCCGACGAAACAAATGACTTGAGATTTTGTAGGGATGCCCTACCTTCCGGATGATCTGGCACTTTCCCTTTACCATTTACCATTTACCATTGGCCAGTCGAATTATGCGCTCTAACGCGCCACTCGTCATTAGTCAATGTTTTAAGCCCAATTTCAGCCATGGCCAAGAAACACTTGGCTCTTGCTTAACCCAGGCCCAGTTGCGTGTCTTCGTTCGTTGTTTTGCTCTTTTTGGTTTTCTCGGCCGCAAAATTATCAAAATTAAATGGAATACCTCACGTGCCATATGCACTGTGCCAGCTGCTGCTGTCCTCAGCCGCCTGGCTCGGCTGCCATGTTGCCAAAAACAAAAAAGAAGGAAAGAGAAAAAACCAAAAAATTATAAACATCGCCGCCGATACGCACTCGGGAGGAGCGAGCGGGACAGCAGTAGTGAGACTTGTACTCATTAAATAATTAAAGTTGTTTTTTTTTTGTCCTCTCTTTTAAGTTTTTGGTAATTCGTTTTGGTCTTAAATCACACCACTTTAAGCTGCGGCCTCTATAAATGGAACGTCTGCACGTACCATACATATGGCCCTTATTTTCACATTTCCTTAGCCTTTCCCTCAGGAAAGAGCACATTTCTTATGACAGCCATACAATTGAATTGTCCAAGGAAACTCAATTGTTCTTCAGCGTCTACACAAAAATCACACGCAATAAATGAAGAACTCAAGCAGCTGGAGAGGGGCACGTCAAATATATACATATACGACACATTAAGATACTTTTTGTATAATTAATATGATTTTTTTTCGGTTATAAAAAAATATTTCATTTAACTATGTAATATTTAATACGTTTTCATCAAAAGCTGAGTTGCTTTTAAGTCTAATTAAATCAGTTGAGAGAGATTTTAATAAAGCAGCACACACTTTAGTAGATTATTTTGTGGAGAGTGGAGACTCCGAAACAGTTTCACAACACGCTGTAATTTCGTTCAGGTTCGAGGCGTAGAATCTAAAATTAAGTCACAACTTAACATTTTAACTGTGCCCAGTTGATTTAGACCGAGTCTGGCTCAGAGTCCAACCAGCTGCCGAGTTGTGCAAACGAATTTCACAATGTCGGTAACATATTTGGCCAAAATACTGCTGATCGGAGCGCTAATAATGGTCGACAGCCAATCACAGCTCAAACGTGGAACAAGTCGCGAATTTGGTAACCAAACTTAATTAATCCCATTCCCAGTAATCTCAGATTCTTCTTAGCGGCCTGGCCAGCGCGAGTGACCCAGGACGTGAAGACTACCACACCCGATGAGAATGGTTGCTTCAAGAAGACGATCACAACATGCCTAACGCAACCATTAAGATCCTAGCGCCGCAAAGTAGACATTAAAACTTTATATAAAAGTAATCTGTGAACCGATTTTCAACGTGTTATATTATATTTGCCAGCAATGATTAATAAATGGCCAGCGCCATCTAGCGGCCAGCTGCCGGCAGATCATCTGACAAACTAGGCGACTGCGCAATTGGGGAAATATTCATTTTTCGGAAAATTCGGACCTCCTAGAGGGATGAGCCACGTTCACATGTCAGACTAGAAAAAGAGTCAATAGTTTTTTGGCACCGATCCCTTAAAGAAGGCTTACAACTTTCTATTCAGATTACGTCTTTTTATTGTCTGCTTGTTCTTTGCTTAACTAGAAAGGACTCGTAATAAATAGTTGAAAATAATATACAACAGGGAATTTCTTTTCTTTAAAATCCTCATACTGCGTTTTGGGGTTGTTAAGGTACTAAATTATGATGAAAGAATTCCCTTTGTAATCTCAGTGCCATAGCAACGAGCTATTAACCATGCACAGAAGCATTTTTTTCTTACACACACACACACGAACACAGATGCACCGTAAGATCTTTTTCACGCTGGTTGTTGATTTAAGTATTTGCATTTATTTTTAATTTAATTAAGTAAAGACATAACCAAGTCGAGCAAAAGCTTTACTCTGAAGATCTTACCTGGACTACATACATTTGTATGTTTATATAATGCTCTGCGGTTTGTGCTGCTTATATTTATGTCATGCAATTTCAAGTGGGCAGCAAATTGTCTGGAGGAAAATATTTAGTTATTAGCGTGGAGAATCTGAAATGGTTTCACAGCAAAACACAATTTCGTTCTGGCTTCTAATGAGCGTGCGATCGAGGCGTGGTATTTAAAATTAAGTCACAAGTTCTTGTGGCTGGCGCGGCGCACTTGGCAAAACAACTGGACAAATATTTACAAGCACGAAACAGAATTTCGACTGTGCCCAGTTGATTCAGATATTTCTTGGCTCAGAGCCCAACCAGCTGCCGAATTGTGCAAACGAACGAATTTTGAGAATGTCTAGAACGCATCTAGCCAAAATGCTGCTGATCGCCGCGCTGCTAATTGTCGGCGGCCAAGCGAGACCCGGACGTGGACGGAAGCGCGCCTTTGGTAAGGGATTCCCATCGAAACTTAGCCCATGGCCTAATCTCTCTCGTCCCTCACAGGCGTTGGTCTGCTGGGCGGCGCCTTGGCGGGCGCTGTCATTGGCAATGCGGTGGCCAAGGCGCCGGGCTCGGCGCAAGCGGCTGCCCCAGCGTCAGCGCCAGCGCCATCGCCAGTGGCTCAGGTGGTGGAGACGGGCGTGCCCGATGCCAATGGCTGCTATAGGCAGACGATCAAGGAGCCCCTGCCCGGCAATAACAAACTGTACACAGAAACGGTTCATCTAGTCTGTCCCCATAATGCGCCGCCAGCTAATCCACAGCCAGCGATGGTGGTGGTGCCAGTTGCCCAGGCTCCGGCGGCAGCACATCCAGTGCTGGTCGCACCTGCGGCACCGGCTGCGACACCTGCGACACCTGCTGTTGTTTACAATCAGACGTCAGCGCTGAACTCCACGCATTTGAATGCAACGCATGTGCTTGCCACTGGCCCGGCGCCAGCTGCAGTTCCCGCTTCGGTTCCTGTTGCAGCCGCAGCGCCTGCTCCGCATTCTTCGCTAACTGTAGTGTACGCAGCTCCGCCGCAGCAGCAGCATCCGCAGCCTGCACAGCCCGGTACTGCGCACGTGATTCTGCTGTCCAAAACAGTCAAGAAGCAGAAGTCTGCGGCTTGTTCCATAAATATTTCGCAGGGTCTGCTGATTCTGGTCGTTCTGTACTGCTTAATAAGCAAATAAGTTTAAATTTCATAAAAGTTGTTTCTTCAAAAAAAAATTATCTAGACCTGCTACCAGTCCTACAAATAAAGCATATGCTTTTCTTTAAGTTTTTGCTGCAGTTTTCCTGGTTTCCATTTGCATATTTTCCAATTTCTATTTTTCTTACATAAATCGTTCAAAAGAATTTTATTGCGCATTTTAAAATTGGCGCACACTCAACTTCACGTGTGTTGAAAAAGTTAAAGCGCAGCCAACTTACTGCCTGCCCGCAAATTTTCGCGCAGCCAACTTCAACTTAAAGCATAACTGTGTATGCTATGTAAACTGGCTGATAAAATATATTTAAATATTTGAGATGTAGATGGCGCCAGCTAACTTTAGCTACTTTGTGGCGCCACCTATTAACAATTCTAAATATTACATGTGGAACTCAAAGGGCACTGTAAATCAAACAGAACTATGTAATGTTAAAGTTATGCTGTTGCAATTTGGTCACACTGTTTTGCAGCCGGCGTCGTTTCATTGTTTTCGTTGTGAAATTCGCGCAATTAAAATTAAAGAATAAATAAAATTAAAAATGAGTACTTGGAATCCGGAATACGATGTGGAGCTAACCGACTCCGAGGATGAGATTGCAATGAAACGCGATTTTCACGGACGCGAGGCAATACTCTTTGTTGTGGATGCCAATCTGGAGGTGGGCGAAAATTCCAGCTTAATATAAATATTATTAATAAATAATATAAATGGGCAGACAGAGCGCCTGATGGACGCGCTGAAGCTAATACGCGGCGCCTTCATCTCGGGCATGCTGGTAAATGGCAAGGATTTGATGGGTCTGGTGTTTGCCAACACCAAACACAGTCCGCCGCCGCAGGAGCTGCAATGCCTGGAGAATATTGTGGTGCCGGCGAACTGCGCCGTCTTCCTGCCGCTGCGACAGCTCACCAAGGCCATAGTGGAGCACTATCTGGAATTTATGGCCAGCGCAGAGGAGCTGTTCGCCAGCGAATATGGCCTGGCGGAGCCAGATGGACGCGGCAGCTTTGCCTATATGATACGCCTGTGCATTGAGCTGCTGGAGAAGTGCGGCAAGAAGCTAAACAATGCCAAGATTGTGTACCTTACGGATGTCGAGGAGCCGCATCCGTCATCCAGCCGAGAGTTTCAAGCGGCCCTGCAAAAGGCCAGCGATCTGGAGGGCAAGGAGTTCGAATTCCAGGTGGTGCCCATGACCGATGACTTTAACTATGAGCCCTTCTACAAGGAGTTCATAACGCTGTCGAGAGGTAAGCAGCCCAAACCGGGCCACAGGATGCGCGACATCTGTTCCCCTTGCTGGCGTGCAGTTGTAGCCAAAAAGGTTTTAAGATCTCGCAGAGCAAACTAAGCAAATGTTTCACTCGCAACCAATCGAAGTTTTATTGGGCTGCGCTTTTGTATTTGCTGACACGATTCATATACACATATATTTATATATAAAATTGATTGATCGGTGATCAAAAGACTATTTAATTGAACTGCCAAAATTCTTTCTAGCCATTGAAATAGATTCATTTCGCGTGCCCGATGCGCAGCTGCAGCGCGAGATTCTAGAAGATCGCAAACTCAGACAGGACTTTCTGCGCCGCTGCCTGGGCCACTTCACACTCTCGCTGGGCCCCAATGTGTCCATATCGGCGCAGTACTACAACTACTTTTATCGACACGTCTATCCAAAAAAGGTGCACATCATGCGGCGCGACAACAGCGTCGTGCAGAAGCGGCGCCAGATTATAGTGCGGCAGGAGGACAAGGAGACGGAACAGATAACGCATGAGTATCAAATCAAGATGACGGGCGGCTGGTACGAATGCAAAGTGGGCGGCCAAGTTCTTCGCGTTACCACAGAACAATTGAATCGTGTGCGCAACTTGCATCCGCCTGGCATGATGCTTCTGGGCTTCAAGCATCGCTCCGCGCTGCCTGATGTTATCTACAGCAAGCCCTGCAACTTTATGTATCCGGATGACCAGAACATCATTGGCTCCAAGCGGCTGTTTCGCGCGCTCTGGCAGCGTTGCTTGGAGCGCGAAAAGATCGCCATTTGCCTGTTCCTGTGCAAGCGCAAGTCTGTGCCGCGCTATGTGGCGCTGGTACCTGTGGAGGCCGCCCAGCCGGATGACAAGAACTATCGATCGCTGCTATCGGGAGATGGCTTCAAGATTGTCTACTTGCCGGAGTCCAAGCATATACGTCGGATAGATTTATGCGACTGGAACAAAATTGACAATACGGCAACGGATGAGGGCGTCGATCTCTTTCAAAAGGTTATCAGGAAACTGAGCGTCGACTATCAGCCCAATCTCATCAACGATCCCAATCTGGAGGTGCTGCAGGCCAATCTGCTGGCGCTCGCCTTAAACTTCAAGACCGAACAGGACGGTCTCACCCAGCTGCCCGATCCGGCGCTGCAAAACAAGCGCATCGAAAAGTTCTTGCCCACCTATGAGACGATCTTTGAACCCGAAATTGAGCCGGCCAAAAAGCGTACAGCCAAGCCCAGCCCCGACGAGGGCAGCGCGCCAAAAATGCCGAAAATTGAAGAGTCGCAACTAAGCAGCTACGACTTTGTGAAACAGCTGATCAAGAATAAGCATCTGGGCTCCTGCACTGCCCAGCAGCTGCGTTTCATACTCGATCAGCATTTCGAAGTCAAGCCAGCGAAATCTCTAACCAAGGCTGTGCTCATAGAACGCATCGAAACGCTGAGCGATTAAACTTTTTTTTTAGAGACATTTGTTAGTTGTTAAAATGAATGATAAATATACTAAGTATTGTTAGATTGCAACAGGATCTGGATACCAGTGAATGAATTGTTATAAGCTTAAAGTTGTCAAGCTGAGTTACAAGAGAGAAAAAGAGATAAAAGAACAAGGCTAGCCTGTATATATATTTGCATCGAAATACATTCGAATTAATTTTAAAAATTGTTAACTAATAAATATTTGTATGCTTTCTCTAATTGAAACATTTATATTATTCCAAGAAAACCCGAATGTTTTTAAACAATTTGAAAACAGGTTTTTGTTTAATGTTTCTTATTTTTGTAAATTACTTTTAATTAAGATGGATTTATAATTATTCCTTTAAACTTTCCGAAAAGCTTCGGATGTTGCTCTTCACATTTCTAGCCCATGTAGAGAGCTCTTAAGTTGGATCATTTTCGTTGCCGGACATGGTTTAATTCTTCAGGTCAGCGTTAACGACATAATTTGACTCTTAACCCGAATAACACCGAATAAGATGTCCTTATGCAATGAAAAAGCGCAACTTTTCGGCGACTTTTGAACACAAAAACTTTGCACTCGCCTTTGTGCAATTCGTGAAACAAGCGCTAAAAGGTGAAATGTTGGCGGTAGTTGTTGTTTTCCTCGAGTGCAAAATGAGTTAAAAATTATAAAATGTGGGCAAAATGAGTGTCAGGTGCCGCAAGGGAGAGGGGGGGGGGGGGGGACGACGGTGGCGCACACGCACTGCCAAACAGTACTCAGCAAATGGCAAAAAGTTGCAGCACGGAAGTTGCCGTTGGCTTTGGCCAACTTCAAGATGGCCAACATGAATGTGGCCAGCACTCGCCTGCCCGCCTTTTACTTTCTTGGCACTTTATTTTAATTTCTGCGGCGTCTCTGCTCGTTCCAAAGTTACTTTCTTCAGCTTTTTGCGTTCTGCTGCCACTTTTCTATGCTGCTCACAGTTAACTTCCAGTTAAGTAGAAATTACTTTAGCATGCGGTTTTCTGATACCCATTAAAAAAAACAATATGCCAGATCTATAGGTATATATATTGGCAAAAATAATCTAGTTTTGGAGACAGAATACTTTTGAAAATAAGTACAGACCTTCTCAGAGAGTCTACCCTCAGCTTGTCTGAAGCCCTTATTATAATTGTTTGTTCAGAAGAATTCTTGTTAAGAGATGAATGAAAAATGATGTACACCCTAACTTTATTTGGTTGTCATTATGATTAAAAACTATGAAAAATTTGGTTGCCTCTGTGGGTCGGTTTTGCGGCCAGTAACTTGGTTTAGAGGTGCATGTCTTTCAGGACATTGCCAGCCTGCTGATAAAGCTCACTTTCATTCAGATCGGGATGCGAGTCGAGGTATTTCTGCAGCTTGTCCTGTTGCTTTTGCAACTGGGATGTGCTCTCGTCTAGCAGCAGTTTATATTCCTGTATGTGCGTTATATGCTCCTGTTTACGATGGTCTGATGCCGATTTCAAGATCGATTTCTTCAGGCGATTCTCCTCGGATCTGATCTGATGCAAGTGAAACTCCTGACGGTTCAGCATGAAGAGCAGTGTATTGACAAGTCCTTTCAAGTAATAATCGAGCTGGTTAGCCATGTCTTCTAATTACTTTTCTGTTTTTATATATTTTAGTTCCGTACGGTTGAAATATTGTTTATATAATGAATGGCAAGCGTGCGGTTTACAGCTCGACAAAAAATGTGACAGAAGAGGCAACGCAAGAGTTCAAATACAATTTGTAGTTTGCCTAAATTGCCATAAAAAAAAAAACAAATATATATTTCAGCAAAATCCAAAAACTAAAACGAACTTTTGGGCAAACTACAGCAAAAATAAAGTTGAACCATAATCAAGGTAACAAACAGCTAAATGACATGGCCACAAATGCACAACGATAAAACTACGAACAGTCAAGTCCGACGTGCAACGTGAACTGCATTGAGCTATAGCTGGCATTGCTACGAGAAAAGTTGCAATTCCAAACCGACTTTACCAACTTTGTTTCCACCATGTTCAGCTGAATGACAAGAAGAAGAAGTCGAAGCTGACACATATGCGATTATTTCCAATCAAGTTCTAAGCATGCGAGTTAGTCGCATCAGCTACTGTAGGTGGAAATTGCTGATTGCATATAAGAATAAAAGTTGATGCTAAATTATTATTTGCAAATAGGTTTTTTTTTCTAAATAAAAAAATAATTATATATTAAACTTATTACGGTATATTATTTTTTAACTCTGTTGTCCCTTTTGTCTCTTTTGTACGAACCTTTCAGCTCACCTGTTATTATTATTATTATTATTATTATTAATATTTTTAATATTATTATTATTATTATTATTATTATTATTATTAATATTTGTAATATTATTATTATTATTATTATTATTATTGTTATTATTATTATTATTATTATTATTATTATTATTATTATTATTATTATTATTATTATTATTATTATTATTATTATTATTATTATTATTATTATTATTATTATTATTATTATTATTATTATTATTATTATTATTATTATTATTATTATTATTATTATTATTATTATTATTATTATTATTATTATTATTATTATTATTATTATTATTATTATTATTATTATTATTATTATTATCATTATTATTATTATTATTATTGTTATTATTATTATACCCTTATAATTTTTTCGTGAAATGTGTAACGCATAGAAGGAGACATCTCCGACCCCATAAAGTATATATATTCATGATCTGTATCAACAGCCGAGTCGATATAGCCATATCCGTCTGTCCGTCCAGGATATAGTGCAAAAATTTCCCAAGAGCAGAAATATATCAAGATCACTTTGTTTTTTATATACGAAATGCATAATTGGCGCTTGTTTTATTTGTCTTTCGATTAATGCTGAATTGAATGTCAAATGAGGAATGGGTGTGTGCAATAATTATTTCAATTAACACATTTGCCCACATTTGCCCATGTCATGCCAGTGTGTTTGGACTTTGTTGGGGCTGTTTAAATAAACAGTCAATCCTTTCACCAATTACTTTAACGACAGCTTTAATTGCGGGTTGGTGTGGCATGCCCCAAAGTGTTTGCCACCTTTGCCGCGAAAAACCGCATAGCACGCTAACTTAAAGCTACAAAAGTTAAATAAATACAAGAAACAAACACAAAAGCCACAAAATACACAATGAGTTTAGCTATAATGCCACATATATGTATGTGTTTGTGTGTGTGCGTTTCAATTGGGTCAAGCGGAAGTGGCGCTAAAATTCATTTCCGCTTTAGTCACACATGTGGCAAAGTTTCGGATAGCAAAAGGCAGTAGAGTGAAGTGTGCGTGGAGTGTCAATAAAAAGGTTAACATAAATACGTAAAGAAATGAGAACATAAGACAAAAATATAAGCCTCCCTGACATAAATAATAATTAATTCGTTTCTATGGTATTTAGCTAACGTAATCGTAATCAAATTCTGAATTGATAAATATGATTAATTCGATATTCCATTAAAAGGTGAATTTTGCAAATTATGAGACTGCTCACATATATTTATAATTGGTTTTAAAAGTCAAGCCTAAAACCGTTTCACTAAAAAGCCTAATTAAGACTTGTACAATTGTCTCAGACGCAAATGGGTGTATATTTGGTAAATTCGAAAGCCGAGTCAAATAGATTTTGCCATTAATCATCATTTTATTTATCTTTCGAATTTAGCTTAGCATTAATACCAATGAAAGCATGCTCTCCGGCTGTTTCCACAGTGTTGCCTTAGATAATAATTGTATGTCAATTAATTAGAATTACCCTGCAGCTGGCTAACAATTATGCAACTTTGTCAATTGAACGGGTAAGGCAGAGGTAAAGCTACATGCAGCTGCCCGAGAATTGCAGGCAGTAGTGTGCGTGTGTGCGCGTGAGTGTGGGTGTGGGTGTGTATAGATGCGTGCGACTGCTGAGGGGAAAGTGCATTTGTAGGGCGTACTTCAGTGCATGCTTCCGTAAATGCAACAAAAGGCTAAATATTTGCCAGAAGCCAATTGTCAAGGGTATTTGCCGAGCAGACTCGCAATTGAAGGCACATTAAATTGTAGAAAATTTGAATTTAATCAACTTGCTGTAACCCTGCGGCGTATGCGTAATAAATGTGGCCATAGCCATAAATGTAATACTACCTCAAAAGACAAACAACGTGGAACTCAGCTGAATCAACTGTCCACAATGCAAACAATCAAAAGTGACAACAAAAGATTTGTCAAGTACCCTCAAGTTGGTGTGTGTGAGTGTGTCCGTAAATTGGTCACCAAACTACAAACAAGCTGACAAGAGCCATAGCTGAAGTAAATAGTTAAATAACTGTCTCTAAATTGGCCTGAACTTAAGATTATTCCCTTGTTTATCACAAATATTTGGAAAACTTACTTTAAATGTGCCAGCACTTCATTTTTTTGAGCTTTATTATTTTAACTGAACTTGAATTTGGCTTGTCTTTAATATTTCTTGATTACTTTGATTATTGGTATAAAATAAAAAATCCTATTGCGTCGCTTTTGAGCTGCTTTTCGATTACGAAAAAAAATTCATTTTCAGCTTAAATATATGCCATACAAATACAAATGCAATGCATAAGCTGCCTATAGACACCTCAGATTAGATGCGTATTAAGCACGCACAAGCATAAAAGCTTACAGCACGGCTTAAGTTGCGACGAAAGAAACGTTGCCTACTTCTTGGCGCAAAAGTAAGATGCATATTTAAAGCAGCTAAGAAATTAAAAAGAGGATTGAATGTGTTTAAGAAATTGAAACAAACGTGTTTTAAATTCTGTCAGCTTAAACAATATTTAAATTTTAATATATTTACTTGGCATTCACGGATTTTATGTGCAGCTCTCAAGTACGAGTTTGGGATGAAAATGCTGTAAATGAGAAATTAGTGTATCAAATATAAATATAATTATTTAACTATATTTTCTTGAGAGTAGGCTTAGCATGTGCTTTATCTTTATATGCTGTCGATTGGGTAATCCAGGCTCATCGGAAATTTTGTCAGCTGCTGCTGCTGTATCATCTGCGTTTACATGGATCCTAATTTGTGTGGTTGGAGCAAAAACCAGTCCGCAACCGCACCACCCCAACACCCACCCACCCACCGACTTACGACTGTCAGCACAACACCTTCTGCCTAGCAACTGCAAATGACTGATATGTGTGCGTGTGTCTGTGCGTTGTATGTGCATGGATGAAAACATGGATAGCATAAGAAAAAAGCGCAGCGCAGCGTTAAACCGTTGGCGGTTGCGTTAAGCAACAGCTGCCAGCGACACCTTGCAAGCGTTGCCGTTGTAAAGTGTTGGGCGGAAAGAGAGAAAAGAAGCGCCAGAAGGCTGACGTTGCTAATGCCATGCATGCTGCTGTCTGTGTGTGTGTGTTTGCGTGTGTGTGTGCATACCAAGCGACAGCACATGCACACATACACACACACACGCACAGACAGACACTAGCACAAATGCATTGTGGTTAAGCAATTTGTGCCAAACAAAATGAAAGTGCTAAGCGCATTGCCCGTCACATGTATCTGCACCCAAGCACACACGCACACACGCATGCACACACATACATACACACGAAACACACTAACAACTACCCAGCCATTCGAATGAACCAGGCAACAAAATTCGAAAAACTAATGGACAATGTAGCAGCTCTTATTATGATTAAATGCCAAAAAAAATATGAATATTGCATAGTTAAACACATTCTCTTTTCACTACCTTGTCAGGCTAAATATCAGCAGGTCATGAAACTGCTGCTGCTTTTATCAGTTCAATAAGCATCGTTCCCTTCTTTGCTGCCAGCAGCACTTTTTGTATGCAATCAAGTCCTATTGGGTGCTATCGGCTTGTGTGCAGCAGGTGCGATATGGCAAAGCTGTCATATAACTGCCTGTCCGTGTGTATGTGTGTGTGTGTGTGTGTGTGTGTCTGTCTGTGTGTAGCTGTCGGTGGTTTTTTCTTGGTTGCTGCTGTTTTGTGGCTTGCGCTAAATTTTATAATTTTTGCTGCTTTTTCTGTTCCTGTTGCTATTTCTCCTCTTCCTGATCCTGGTTGTCTCTCAGTCACGTGTCATTCATATCATAACGCACCATAAACAAGAGCGCCGGCAATGGCCGACCAGTCCATGCCGGCGCCCCGCTGACATCCGCTGTCCTGCCACACACTGCTGCTCCTCCCGCTGCTCCTCCCGCTGCACCTTCTGCTGCACCTCCTGCTGCTTCTGCTGTTTGGCGTTGGCAACGCGCATCGTTTGTTCGTCCGTTCGCCTTATTTCGATTTATTTTTATGTGCATTGCCTTGTGCACTTTGCATTGCAACTTTTTTATATATGTATATATATTTTTTTTATTTTTTATACAATTTTTTGCTTATTTTTGTAACCCAACCCTCAGAGTTGTTAGCTGAAAATATTTTCTCATGCGTAAAATGCATGACAAGCGATGCAGACAGAGACGTTGACGCATTGAAATCCCAGCTGGGTGGTTACTGAGTGCGGGAGCGTTGCTTAGATTGCCGGCTTTGGCTGCCAAATTGTCTGGCTTTGAAAGGGTTGCACGGTGTCGAGGGTGTTGCTCTGTCAGGTGTGTTTAGCGCGCAGGTGTATCGATTTGTTATGT